TGTTGCAACTGTCCCCGGTCTCCCCACCATTAGCTTACCATCCTCTATAGTCTTCTTGTTATTGGTGCCAAACTGCTGTCTGGTACAGTCTTCAGTACTTTTCCTTCAAATTTGTCCCACTGCTTTTAGCCACTCCAGCCCTTGTGGTCATTSACTGCCCTAAKATCAAACTCAAGATTTTTTAGCTTGTCTCGGTGTCCCGTCTAGTGTTGGGTACTAAAACTCGGTTCCAGTATGGCACCGGGGCGAAGATCAACGGTAATACTCAGACCGAAACACAACTCTTATTTCTGTGCTTTATTTCGGTATAAGGGTGAGTTATGAACTTTTAATGTGTTTTAACTGTCTAATTTAGCTGTTTCTGCCCTCTGTGTCAGACTATGTGTGGTAGAGAGAACAGCTGTGTGTTAAGTTTCACTTTGAACGGGAGCGCAGGGAGCGCCATGTTTTTACTTTCAGTTTGAAACTGCACTGTAATTAGCGTGTCCATGTTGTTTTTCTTTTAAAAATGCTGGAACTGCTCACAGGAGGCATAGAAGAACACCTGTATTGTTCTCCCTGCTGGATTCAAATAAAAAGCTCTTGGTCCTTTTTCGCTGTTACGTTAAGCTGCAGCCGTGCAGCAGACAGACGCTGCAGATCATGTCAGCTCTGACCGTAGTATAAAAGTCGTGATGCAGTTTTCCTTCTGTGTACATTTCAAACTGTGCTCTAAACTTAACTTCAGCTGGTTTAAATGCATTTTTGGCCCAGTGTAAAAAAACGGGTGCAGACTGAGGCAGACTATGAGCGCTGCGTGTGTGTGTGTGTGTATGTGTGTGTGTGTGTGTGTGTGTGGGTGTGTGTGTCCTTTTTCTCTGAGTTGCTCTGACAGTTTTATTTAGGCCTGTTGCTGTTTTTGCTTGAAAAATGCTGGAATATTAAAACAGTCATTTTATTTTATGTAAAAAAATATGAATCTGATTAATGTACAAATAAAAACTGAATATTTAGCACTAGATAAAATAAAACATGATTTTTAAAAATGTTTTCTAGTTTTAAGTTAATATGTTGGTCAATTTCAAGTTTGACTTTGCCTCAGAAATCATTGCTTCATAAACCTCTGTGTGAGCGTGTGTTTTATTTATTTATTTTTAAAGTACCGATTTAAATACCGTTTAGGAACCGGTACCATTTTGAAAGTATCGATTTAACACCGGTATCGAAATAAACCCTTTCAATACCCAACCCTAGTCCCATCATCATCTGGAAAATCTGCCTGTAATTTCTCTCATTTTAAGCTTGTGCTGAATGTGCACATCTGCCAATAAATTACATTATTCAGGGTGGTTCATGTAACTCCACTAGCCAATAAGTGACTGCTACATGCTTCCAGTTTGCTTGGACCCCATGCCCAAACAGTGTCTGCCTCTCAGTATCACCTCAGAGGAAGTTACACAAACCGGGCGAAAATGGGTGGAAGCCAGTRGTGGCAAGACTTTAAACTGGTCCAGCTGTTGCCATCACTAATATGCACCTTCATATACATTCATTTTTGTACTGTACTTTACGGTGAATATATGTATATAAATATGCATATGTGTTTATGTATGTGTATGTATGTATGCATATGTGCATTGGCACTTACTACATATCACGTGTATATTGTAGGGTTGTTTTTGTTTGTTATCTTTTATTTATCTTTCATTATTCTTCTCAGCCTCTCTTGTATTAAGCTGCAGTAATGTGCAAATTTCCAGACTGTGGGATCAATAAAGTTGATCTTATCTTATCATGTCTTAGTGTGGTGTGGGCGGAGTCGAGCCCCTGACAAAGAGCATATTATATGCTGATATGGAAAATATAAGAAAGTCCAGAAAGTAAACTTTTTTTCTCCTGGTTAGGCTCAGCTTGCTGGCCACAATGTAATAGCAGCTCTTTTTTTTATGTTTTCAACCAAATATATTTGCTTATTTTTGGAACACCTTTCATGTACTTAATATTTATATTATGAAAATATGAAAAAATAGAATCGTATGGCTTCTTTTTTTGGATATTTTTGTATGGTTCTGGTGAAATTTATCTTGAGTTTTTTTCTTGTGTGTATGGTGAACACATAGTACAAAAGGAAAATTGTATTTTGTGCTTTATGCAGAAAAAAGCCCTCTGCACTCAGAGCTGTGTTTAGGATATTAACCCTTACACATGTCAAACATTTCATACAAAATAAAAAACGCAAATATCTTGGTTTCAGAGAGTTTATTTTGTTAGTTTATATATACAATCTGAAATAGAAGCAAAAGCATTTTAGTGTTTCACTAGAGTAACTAAACCCCAAATCAATATTTTTTTGCAGATAAA